CCCTACCTTATGTCCAAGAAAAACAGAAAATATCAGACATTTTACATGTCTGGTATTTTCTGGGGTTTTTTTTACCAGACAGGGGTCAGAAATAACGGACTGTCCATGCAAAAACTGGACAGCTGGCAACCCTACTTGGGACTCATAGCAAGAATTTTGCCTTGCCGGTGGAACCGGTGGTACCATTATCTGATACATTAAACTACCTTATGTCCAAGAAAAACAGAAAATATCAGACATTTTACATGTCTGGTATTTTCTGGGGTTTTTTTTACCAGACAGGGGTCAGAAATAACGGACTGTCCATGCAAAAACTGGACAGCTGGCAACCCTACTTGGGACTCATAGCAAGAATTTTGCCTTGCCGGTGGAACCGGTGGTACCATTATCTGATACATTAAAATAACGTATTTCTGTTGGTGGTGCACATCTGCACATGCCTTGGTGCACATCACAAAATGTATTCTGCTCATTGATGGAAAACATTGGTAGAGGGAACATTGGTTTGGATATGGACAGTTTCCTTGGGAACTACATGGGTAGAGCCAGGCTATTTTTCTGGAGTGAAGCATTAACAGTGCCAGCAAGTGGCCCTTCATAGAAGCGCCTCTGAGGAGTGGTTCAGCTTCCTTTCTTGATTAACGAATCCGTTCTTCAATCCTTCGCCCTTCTTCTCTGCAGCACAAGTGCTCCTGGCCGACCAGAGGTGCTAGGGCGCTACGGTTTAGTCGGAGCCTTCGGTAACACAGTGACAGCACCCCACTGCCTTGCAGTAACATTGAGGGGTGGGAAATCTACCGTTCTCCTTGTGTCCCCTTAGCCCTCCCTCCCCTTGCCTGTCTGGGAGTTGCTTTTTGAAATGTATTCTATTGTAATCTCAGGCTGGATTTCTGTATAGCCTAGCAGCTGGAGATCTTTTGCTGAACACTATCAAGGTGAGGTAGTTACAGGAAAGACCTGAAGTTTTTACTAACAGGACACAAGGAGAGTTGGGTGTGATGCAGAACCCCCAGTCGGAATCCCCTTGTGCCGTTGTACCCTCACACACAAGAATACGACTTAGGATCAATACGCTCCCTGTAAGCTGAGCACTTGGGTGGCCGCCCGGGAGAGATTCAAATGCCACCCCGCTGATAAGCAGAGTGCCCACACCCGGCAATATGTGTTTCTGTTTGTGGTGCACATCTGCACATGTCTTGGTGCACCGAACAAAATTTATTCTGCTCATGGATGGGAAACATTAGAGGGCACGTTGGTTTGGATATGGGCAGGGTGCAGGTGAAGGCGGGTCTGAGCATCATTGTCATCGTCATGCGGATGCAGAGCTATTAGCTAAGCCCCTGCTTCATAACTTGACCACCACATAGCACCAATCTTATTAACATGTGATCAAGGTCCCCTCTCCATACTGCCCAGCTCATTGGTGTTTCTCCAGTGTTTATGTGCACAGTTCTGGTCACCTGCCCGGATCAAGCCTGACGGGGTGTAACTTGCCGGGCTGCAGGCTGATCAGGCTGCCTTTTCCGAGCGGAGCCCAGGGACGGGGACGCTCACACAAAGGGCACAGTCTGTAGAAATGCCGTTGAATAAAAAGCAAGTCCAGAATCATGCACCTTATTGTAACTTTTTATTTTTCCATTCCATTTCTAGTGCAAGTAGCCAGACCCGTGAGTGTGCTGTGATAACAGGGGGACACACTTGGGAGCATAGGAGTTGCTGTGTCGGAGGCGACCTTTAGACCTAAGCCGTTTCATCAAAGTAAATAAAAACCAATTCTCCTGTTTTGCTTGCGGTGGGGGGACGCTAACCTCACACTGACACCTGGGGAGAATGAAACCTCCCCCTGCGCTCCCCAGCATGGTCTGGCCCTTCGGGTCGCCGAGCTGCTATGAACAGATCAGACTCACACGACACTGCCCATTCAGGACCTCCAGGCTGGGTTGGTGTCGTTATCTCCATTGTATCAGGGTGAGTCTCGTGTGTGTTTTGAACCCGTGCTATGCAGGTTTCACAGAGGAAAACAGCGTTTCTCAAACTGGGGGATCCTGACCCAAAAGAGAATTGCAGGGGACTCACAAGGTTATTTTAGCAGGGGGTTGTAGTATTGCCGGTCCACACCTCCCTAGGCTCAAGACAAAGTTTATGCTGGGCAACATAGAATTGAAGACCCCTGCAACAAAAGACCAGACTTGCCTCTCTCATGTGTTTCAAGGGTTAATGATATGCTGGGCCAAATTCTGAATGGGGGTAAATCAACATAACTATTAAAGTCAGGGGCAGCTGATTTGCATTAGTTAAGGCCCTGGGATGACAGGTATTATTGAAGGGCCCAGTGTAATTAAGCTATTCAGGACTTGTCCTCTGACGGTCTGCAAAGCACCTCTCATGCTTATAATAACCCTGAAGTGCATACTGAGGCAAACTCTCCTTGAGTGGGTGGGAATGTACCAGAGTGAAGAAAGGCGGCATTTGGCCCAGTTCCTAGTTGGATTCGTGTCTAGCAGGATGCATATCCTGGCTTGCAAAACTTAGCAAGAAAGGCCCAATCCTGCTCGTTCGGGAATCTCGGGGCCTGGTTTTCCATTGCCTTGCCACTCCACGTCACCATGGATACCTGTGACAGAAAAACGCAGCCTCCAAGTTACACCGAATGGAGAAAGCTGGCATTATACCCACTGGGTACATCTGCGAATGACTACAGCGAGTGTAAGGTAGAGGAGACCTAGCGGCTTTTCAGTGGCTTTGGGATCGTTGTCTTTGTCTGAATAGCAGCATATAGTTCTATAAGGCCTGGCCCACTCGTCACTGAAGGCAGCGAGAGACGTTCCATTGATTGTACTGTAATGACAAATGGGATCAGGCCCAGATTATCGTCACATGGTTCTTTCTTGTGATGTTGTTTCTTCTCTCACATTCAGAATATTGGCCTCCTCTTCTAATAGACAACTGCCCTTAGCTAGTATTGGATCAAATCTCCAATAATTCCCAGTAGGGTGATCAAAATAAAGGAATGGGGGGGGGTTAATAGGGACATGTTCGTATACACGTTTAAATGGTTAACGGATGAGGCTGGGCTCATCAGTTAACCTTCAGTTACAAGCAGGCTTCCTGTGAGCACCAGCTCCTAGGGAGCCGCCTGCCCCCTTTCCCCATGCTTCAGGGAGCTGGCTTAAAATTTTAGCAGTTATACATTTACCCCCCCAAAATGCATTTCAACTTCCCTAGTTTTTAATAGAAATTTTTTCATGCTGATGAAGTGCTGGATTAAATTAAACAGGATTGAATTAATGAGTGATTGAAATGACCAGAAAACCCGGTGTGATCACCAGTACAATACTGCCATCCTCCCAGAATCCCTATTTAGGCAAAGTCTAGAGTGATCTGTTCTAGGGCCTGGTGGTTTATGGGTTGGTCATGTCTCTAGAATCTGGTTAAGTGTGGGTTGTGATGTCCTGGGATTGCCCGGCGAGGTGTCTGATGGGGACCATTGCCGGAAACTGAGACTTGCACACCAGTCTTTACACCGACACCCCCTGCATGCTGGGGCAGAATGTTGGGAGCATGGTGAACATACTTTGGGTGCTTGTGTCATGCACCATAATCAATAAAGGTCGTAAGCCTTGAGTTTCAAATGACTTGTGATTTTGGGTACCCAACTGTGAGACCCTTTTGAAGAAGGCCTGACTTCCAGAAAGAGATGTCCTCTGGAAACTCAGCCCATTAAATGTCCCTCATGCTGAGGACCCAAAAAATGAAGGATGCAAAATCACTAGTTGCTTTTGAAAACCCAGGCCAGAGTTTATCACTCCAGAGGTTCCATACCATGATTTAAAGAACTCCTCTGTGACTTGGGATGTAGCCATGATGAGGTCACCTCTTTGGCCAGTCACAGAGGGTACGTCTACACTACAGCGTTTTCCCAGAAAAATGGCCATTTTTCCGGAAAAACTACCCTTGCGTCCACACTGCCATTGAGTTCTTAAGACAGAAAGTCGAAAGAACGGAGAGGTTTTTCCAATGGTGGTAAACCTCATTCTACGAGGAAGAAGACTTTTTCTGAAAAAACGTTTTCAGAAAAAGGAGCGTGTGGACGCAGAAGAGGGAGTTCTTTCGAAAGAAGAGGCCTCCAGGAAATAACACAGGTGCCCTGGCGGCCACTCCATCCAGACTAATCACAACTTAAATGCGGGATAGTGTCCAATCGATGTGGACGCTATCTTTCGAAAAAGCACATTGCTTTTTCGTTGCCCTTTTGCTGTGTGGATGCTCTCTTTCGAAACAAGCTTTTCTAGACGATCTCTTCCAGAAAAGCTTCTTCCAAAAGAAGCTTGCAGTCTAGACGTAGCCTTAGTATGAAGCTGTGCCAGGCGAGATGCCTGCATTGGAGAGAGGATAGAGATGAACTCCTGTGGGGGTGGAGGATCGGACTGGTGTCTCCCCTCTAGAATACTCTGGCTACGTTTTATGCTAATAAAAATGAGAGTGTTCAGAAGGAAGCCACACAAATGTTTACCAGGCTGGGGGAAAGAGGAAAAGAATTAAACAGGAATAGCTTGACTCCAGCAATGACAAAGAGGAACATGATAAGCATCTGCAAGCCTATGAAGGGTAAACAACCCACGGGGACAGGACTTGTTTAGCGTGATCAAAGGGAGATTGTTTAGGGATAAAGAGTAAAAAATTGTAAAGAAAAATTTGAGGACGACTGTCGGGGCAGGAGGAAGTTTTTTATTCCACAACCTCCTACAGCTTATCTTTAGTCTCTCCGGGGAGGTTGCAGGAGCGTCATCGCTTGAGATATTTAGAATCCTACTGGAGAATTTATTCTAAGAAACAATTTTGCTCAGGCCCCGTGATGGATCTGGTGGGATCTCCCTGGAGGAATGTTTCATCCCCAGTGACTGTAGAAGGTTATTTTGACCCGAGAGGTATTGCAGCAGCGACTTGGTAGCTGGGTCACCTTAGCTGTCAGCTCTCAACAGAATGCTTTTGGGCAGTGTTGCAACACATGCCAGAGATCGCACAGGTTCTGCTCCTCCAGCTCCGGAGAGCGTAGCCCCAAGATCCTTTGAGGAACCAAAGCAATTCTGCTGCAGGGGGGTGGACAGAATTTGGGGAGCTATACAGCAGAGCTCACTGCATGCTCTTGCCCATAGAGACTTACAGAAGTGGGCAGGGGCAGGTTAAGGAAAGAGCCAAGAAAATGGATCTGCTGCAAGTGAAATCCACCAACCATTGTCTCCTGCAGGAGACTCAGGGTCTCAGATGCAACGGGAATTAACACAGTCCCAGGGGCAAAGAGGTGATCATAAATAAAGGCAGTCCAGTAACGCTCTCCCTTTCCTCTCTTTCAGTGCCACTGACTTGTGCCTCGACTTCACCTCTGAGTTGCCATGGCCAAGTTAGAGACCCTGTCTGCTCTTAGTGACCCAAGCTACCCGAGCCAGGAGACCTTCCGCTCGTTTGCCCCCAGGCCTTCTGAAACTGCCTCCCAAAACACTATGGGAAGCGTGGGCAGTGGAGTCGCCAATGAGCAAGAGTTTGCGATGAAGAGCGTGGGAACCCGGACTCAGAGCAGCGGTAGGCAGGCGGATAGCTCGCGGAATGGCTATTCCACACGGGAGATCTCCAACCGCTACTCTGGGGAGGAGAAGACCTACAAGTCGGAGAAGATCTCCAACTCCCTCTACATCAACGGGGACCTGCGCAAGAGCGAGAAGATGAAGACAGACATTTGTGGGAACGTTGCCACCAACAACGAGAAAAACCTGCCACCTCCTCCCCAGTACAGAGAACCCAGTAACCCACCAAAGATCTTGCCGGTCTCTGGCAAACTGGACCAGGTAAGGTTCCGTTGTGCCGTGGGGCCCAGAGTGTCACTCCCGGGATGCAAGTCAGTGTCGCAAAGGGAACAGAACAGGTCTTGGTCTGGTCTCGGTATCTCAGATGCCTGATCAGTAAGGCGGTTAGATATCATTTATTTTAGTAATGTGTAGCCACAAGAGTTTTTAGCAGTTACACGGTTACAAAAATGCTCCCCCCCCCTTGGAGATAGGGCCAGCAGCCCCACTCCTGGGGAGCCCTCTGCCAACTCTGTGCTGCTGCCCCTGTCCGTGGGGGGCCCAAATTCCCTAAGGCCTGCCGCAGATGGGGCTGCTGCCACTCCGCACTGCTGCATCTGGTCTGAACTTAAAATGCAGAGCATGCAGGAGGAGTTGTGGCTAACCAGGTCTGTTAACCGAGAAGCAATCGCTTATCGGTTAAACAGTTAGCCGGCTAGCTGCTAACATCACTAATATTTATTATTATAGTAACACTGTTTAGCATCATAGCTGCAATATGCTAAGTGCTACACAACTACCGACTTCGATTCTGTAAGTGTTTCTGTGCAGGTGAACTTGCATTCCAGTCATGACTGTGTCTCCCTCTATTGACCCATGACTTGGATAATCCCACCCACACAGAGTCTATCATAGAAGTAGATATGGTCCCTGCCCAAAAAACTTAAGTATATTTTTAAAGAGTAGAATAACAAGAATTAGTCATGATTTTTGGTGGGCGGGGGGCTAAGTTATTTTTCACTAGCTAGTGTGAGCGGACAAACAGCTGATCAGCTGTTTGTCGGCTCAGCGTGGCAGCCATGTAAATTTAAATGAAGCGGCGATCATTTAAATCGCTGCTTCTTTTCCCTTTGCCAAAACAACAAATCTACATGGCTCCATCAACGGAGCCATGTAGTTTAGACGTACCCTAACATCCCTACTGAGCAGCTTAAAACTCTACCTGCTGGGATATCATGGGATTGCTAATGACTGCTAGGCTGCCCACATCATGGTGAGACCCAGATTTTGAAAGGAATTTAGGTGTTCTCAGCGTTGCAGCCTCTCGGTGAGTTAGGAGCCAAAATATGATTTTCCAAAGGGATTTGGGCACTCAGGAGACTGTGCAGGGTAAGTTTCCCTGCAAAGAGAGATGGGTAGTGGAACAGGAAAGCTGGACTTTCCTGAGCCGGACCTGGGTGTGAAACCCTGGACATGTTCCTTCATCTTGCTGTGCTGAACTGCAGTTGGAGGTACTTTAAGATCCTCCAGGGAAAGGCTCTGTGTGGCTCCAGTCCAAAGTGTATTGAAGTCAGTTGAAATATTCCCAGTCATTTCACTGAGCTTTGGACTGGCTGGACCTTATCAGAGCAGATAATTGCCATCACTAATGTTCATTCCATACAGGTTCAAGGGCTGAGTTTAGTTTTCAAGCAAAGGGAGTCTATTCCTTTTACACACATGGCCTGATTGACAAAGAAAAGTCTTTCAAAACCTAGTCTGATGCAACACGTTGCCCCATGGAGCCTGAAGATAATGTTGAACAAAGAGCCAATTCTGTCTGGGCTGTCAGACAGCTCCAAGCCCGGGGAGGGTTACACCTTTTTCTATTACGGAGAAGAAAACAATGATCATTGGAACAGAGTGTAAAAGGGCGATTAGAGCCCCACACGATTCACAGCCATGACAAACACATCACACAGAGCATGAAATCAGATCTCCCCTCTGTGAAATCTGCTCTTTTGTGTGTTTCTACTCTGTGCTGTACAGACTGCACAGAGGAAAACAGCATTTCTCAAATTGGGGGTCCTGACCCAAAAGGGAGTTGCAGGCGGTTCACAAGGTGATTTTAAAGGGCCGGGGGGGGAAAGGGTCGTGGTATTGCCACCCTTACTTCTGCGCTGCTTTCAGAGCTGGGTAGCCAGAGAGTGGTGGCTGCTGACTGAGGCCCAGCTCTGATGGCACAGCATGGTGTGAGACCACAGCAGACCATACCATCCTTACTTCTGCATTGCCGTGGGCAACCGCTCTGCCTTCAGAGCTGGGATCCTGGCCAGCAGCTTCCGCTTTTCAGCTGCCCAGCTCTGACGGCAGCGCTGCCAGCAGCAGTGCAGAAGGGAGGGTGGCAGTGCCACATAGGGAGGTTAAAAAGTGTTTTGGTTTTTTTGTAAACGTGTAACCATTGACATTTCCCGTGGTTACATGTTTACATGCAGGTGGGAGAGGCAGCAGTGTGGAGTGGGGAAGCAGTTGGAGGCTGGTGCTTGCAGGGAGCCGCTGCTATCAGATCAGGAACTGGTACACACGGGGATCCTGCTTAAAAGCCTGGCTCAATGCTTAACCATTTAAATGTATACTCTGTCACATCTCTAGTACCACGCACCCTTACAATAACCTTCTGCCCCCCACCCACAGACACACACACACACACACCCTTTTCAGGTCAGGACCCCTACAATGGCAGCACCATGCCATTTCCTATGTAAGTAGCTAAAATCACACAATGTATGAGTTTTAAAAATCTTACATGAAATGCACCAAAAGGGACTGTGAATTTTGTGGGGCCCGAAGGATGAAGATGGGATTTCAGCACAAACCCTGATTCACTTCATTCACAGAAGAAAAGAGATGGAGAGGTGGAGTGGGGAACTTTGAGCATTTATGTATTTAACTTTGAACCTTATTCCTGAGGTCCTTCATACATGAAATCCATAATAGGGATGTAAGCGACTAGTTGAGTAGTCGACTACCCAATAAGCGTAGGCTTATTGGTAATCGAGTCACTATTCGACTAGTTGCTTCTCACCCCCTCTTGCTGCCTCTATCAGAGGCAGCAAGGGGGGGAGCAGGAGCTGGAGCTGCGGGGAGCTGGCTTAAAATCTGGTTCCCCCCAGTGCACTCTCCACAGGGGCAGGGGAGGCAGAGGTGCAGCAGGGGACCAGACACAAGCAGGTACTCAGCTGTCCCGGCTTGCACCCAGCTCTTACTACATTTAAAAGGCAGAGCTGCAGCGGGGTTAGCTCCCAGGGCTGGGAGCTAACCCCACTGTGGCTCTGCAGTTTCCCCCCTGTATAGACTAATCAAGTAGTCGATGGAAATTCCACCGACTGCTCAATTATCTGATTAAACACAATTTAACATCCTTAATCCAAAAAAAAAATCTACAGTGGCTTTTAAAATTGAGCAGTAGAAAACCATGAGGCCTGATTCTGGGATAAGTCAGCCTACTTCCGTTAACTCTAATGACACCTATAGAATTACTGCGATTTACCCGATCTCTGGTTCGAACCCTTGCTCTGTTGTGTATTGTTACAAAGCTTCCTGGCTGCTTTTGATGCATCATTCCTTTTTCTTTTGCAGAGCAATGAGCCCTTAGTTAGACCGTCAGCCTTTAAACCGGTAGTTCCTAAAAACTTCCATTCCATGCAGAATCTCTGCCCGCCACAGAACAACGGGATAACAGAGAACAGAAAGAGCCTGAATCACACCAACAGCAATAGCCCCTCCGCAGTCAAAAGCGGAGCGGAGAAGACCAGCCTTAATAGGACTACAAACCAAGTGGGAGGTCTTTCCGATTCTGGCCGTAACTCTTTGACGAGCTTGCCCACTTATGGGACGGGCTACAGTCAGCACGTTGGCCCAATGAGTGCTTCAACGAGTCACATAAACCGTATTGGCACAACGTATGTAGATAAGAACATAGTGGGATACAATGGAATATCTACCTCAGACAGTGGACGGTCTTCAAGCAAGAGTACTTCCTCTTTCAGTAGGCTCAACCATCTGAACGAAACAATGCCTTTCCATTCGCCCTCAACAGACGACGTTATCCAGGACCTGGAAGACCGGTTGTGGGAGAAGGAGCAGGAGGTCCTCCAGATGAGAAGAAACCTGGACAAAAGCGAGGCTGCCATCTTCCAAGTGTTTGAGGAGAAGCAAAAGATCTGGGAGCATGAAATGGAGGACCTCAGGCAAAATTATGCAAATAAGCTGCAGCAGGTCTCCAAGAAGGCCCAGAGGGCTCAACAAGCTTTGCAGCTCCAGATCTTCAAGCTCCAGCAAGAGAAAAAAAAGCTCCAGGATGACGTGGGGCAACTTCTCCAGCAGCGAGAAGAGCTGGAGAAAAAATTTGTGACTTTCAAGAAAGAACAGGCCGAGTTTCTTCCCAAGATTGAGGAAACTAAGTGGGAGGTAAGGGCCCAGCAAACATTCATGGCATTGCACTAGACTTACATCAGTGTCTGGGGGATGAATGAATTAGTCCATGCTAACGGAGATTCCCATCCAGCAAAGCACTAGAATGCTAATTTCAGTGGGGCTTCTCACACGCATACAGCCAAACACGTGAACAAGTGCTTAGTCACATCCAAGGCCTAGCAGTAAAACTTTTAGGGTTCATCTACACTACGGAGAAGATCGTCCCTTCAGAGGTCGATCTTCTAACGTTCGGTTAAGCAAGTCTAGTGTAGACCCCCAAATCAAACGCTGAGGGCAACCCCACCGGCATCCTGTACTCCTCATTCTGCGAGGAGTACGGGAAACCAATGGGAGCGTGTGCTCCTGTCAGCCTCCCGCAGAGTAGGCGCTGCGGCGGCTCGGTTTAAGATAAGCCAAATCCAGCTACGCATTTTGTGTAGGTGAATGGCATATCTCAAGCTGACCTGCCTGGTCTACTGTAGACCTAGACTTAGTGGATTACAATGACGAGACCAAACATTCAGATAAAACCCTCCCTGTAGAATGGACTAAAGAACACCTTGCTCAAGGATGTTTGCAAGCTGGGCAGGAATAAATAATTGCTAAACACCCAAGATTTGTAGAACCGCTGGCTTGTGGCCACAGCAGAACAGCAGAATTCTGACCTCA